GATACTACATGGGAAAATCCGTCCCATATAAATCCCATTAATCTCAAACGGAACCCACGTGGAACCCATATGGGATACGGTTTTATTTTTTACTGGGAAGAGAATAAGAATTAAATTTCACAAATAAGAGAATATGACATACCATTATATGTACTTTCCAAGTAATATTCAGCTTTGCATTTAGAAGTATATTTGCATACTGTTGTAGGTCAAAAAATGATACTTTGAATTTTTCAATAACTGAAGAAACATTACAGCCTAAATTTTTTTTAAATGTGCACTTTTTAACTTTCGGAAACTTTCTGAGGCAACAAACAATAGTTATCGTACTAGCTTGAGATGCTAAAACATCTCTTTCTAAAATATCTACTTTTTCTAAAGGTTTTGTGGCGTTATTATTATCAAAGCCTATTCTATGATAACTTCGAAGAAAAATATAGAGCTTTTCGAGCCGAATCGTAAAAAAGAGGCCAATAATCTAAAAGGAGTCTACCAGGTAGTGTGACAATCCCAATAAGAAGATGTAATTATGATGGTGGAACCAAGCGATTAATTTCAACTTTAGGACTTTTATCAAAATAAACAAGACTAAGACTAATCACGTTTTTAAATTCTTTTATCTGCAATCGCTATGCCCCATTTTCAATAAATAACTTGTAACAATGATCAAGAAAACGTAAAGTTCTCGGAAATTTTACCATTTTACCATTTTCTAGGGTACATTCGCCTTCACAACATTAGCAAGCATGCTTACCAGAATGAGAAGATAAACTGAAAATATTGTTAGCACATTTTAAATTAAATGCAAGGTGATACGTAACATTATCTAGATTAATCTACTCAAGATTTTCTGCACATTTCCATAATTTTCAGAAATATCTTCAACAATAGCAAGTATAAAACACTTCCAAACTCCACTTTTGATGTGTATCTCATTTTTATTGGTCTTGTCAAAAACATTTACGATTACTTTAAAAAATCGTTGACCTGCATTAATGGATATGCATTTACCATGCTCGAAGAGGATCTAAATCTCTTTCCATTAAATTACTTAGAATAAATTTAGAAGTGTCATGAATAAATACCATACCTCTTGCTACAGTTTTATCATTCTAAATAAAATCATCTTTTTCTCTTTTACCTTTAGACTCAATTCTTGTTGCAATGATCTTGTCATGCTAACTACATAGTTCTCACCAACAATAGACGACCCTAGATACTTACGCAGACTTGATACTATTTCTTTCTTTTTTTTTTTTTTTTTGATTTTTGTTATTTCCAGTATAGAAGTCGATTCCGCAACTGTTTGGAATGATATCTGATAAAGGTGAGTTTCCAATCATCCGTTTTTCTACGGGAAAGGTAAAAATAAAAACGTAAGCATGTGCAGTTTTCTTTCGGACAAATATAATATTTTATAACGCATGCTCACGTAATTATTTTTTCCTTTCCTATCCCGTTCCCGTAGAAAAACGGATGAGTGGAAACTCGCCTTTAAATAGAAAAGTAAAACGTCTTACTATTTTAAAGCATTTTTATAAAAATACTTTTTAATAAACTTTTGCTCTTAAAAAAACTTTTTAAATTATTTTATAATTATTAAAATGTGTTTTTGAATTATTTTTATATTAATGGGAATTTTTGGTTTGCATTTTTAACTGTTATTCTATACTTCGGCTTCAGCTTTTGCCCTTTTAACAAAAAACAGACTATTGTTATAAACAAAAAAAAGCGGCTTCACTTTATGTCCAATGAATTTTCGCAAGTTATAAATCTACACCTTTTCAAAATGTAATTGAGAAAACAAAAATTGTAATTAAGAATCGTAAGATGTAATTGAGAAAACAAAAGTTGTAATTAAGAAACGTAAGATGTAATTGAGAAAACGTAAGTTGTATTTAAGAAACATAAGATGTAGTTTAGAAAACGAAAATTGTAATTAAGAATCGAAACATGTAATTGAGAAAATGTAAGTTGTAATTAAGAAATAGAAAGATGTATTGAGAACAGAAAAATTTTAATTTAGATATCGCTTTAAAGGAGTAAGTGTAAAATGGCGCTTAAAAAAAATGGCGCGTAAAAAAATTGAGCGTATAAAATGACGCACTTAAAAATGACGCAAGATTTGTAGCGTAAATTTAATTTTTTAGGGAAAAATTTAGAATTTTTGGGCAAATGAATTTAATATTATAAACACTAAAAACATTTCATGGAAAAATTTATAATTCAATTAAAAATTAGAATTAAAAATTATATAGTTAAAAATCACTTCATTGATCATTTAAGCACCAACTTGTACGTCTTCCATATTTAAAATAGTAGCATAGTGCGTAGTTGTGTGTTGTACCGCACGTGCACAATCTCCTCCCATTATAGTATTTTTCGCCTCAATTACAATTCGTTCTAAGTACTGCATGCGCTGTTCCGCAATTCCGTCACCTAATACAGGTGGAATGCGAATTGCATTTTTAACGTTACTTTTAATTTTGGACCAGATCGTTTCCACCGGGTTCAACATTGGACTGTAAGGTCCCAAACGTAACAACTGAACTGGTGAATTATCAAACACCCTTTGCAAACGAGCGTGACAAGGAGCATTATCTGTTACGACAACCAAATCCTCCAAACGATTCCCGGATGTAACCCACTGGTGAAACATAGCCAACATCCACTCGTTACAGGAATCTGCTTTAAATGATCCCCTGCGAGTTTCTATCATGACGACATTTGTAGTTGAAATAGCTGCGATCAAGTGTATGTTTAAACCTTTTGAAGCAGGTACTTTCATAATTGCTCTTTTTCCTTGTCTCGCGCGTCCTTGCGTTTTTCTACAAAAAAGATTAAAATTTGTTTCATCCAACCAAACTATCTGACGACCATTTGTGATATGTTCGTTGATGTTTCTAACATATTCAGCTCTTTTTTGTTTGTTTTCACTGTTCATTGTAGAAGGCTCCTTATGCACTTTTTTTAATGAGAACAATCTGCCTTCGGTAATTTGCTATTGTTGTTGTGCTAACGTTTATGTTAAATTGTCTTAATATCTTTGTTTTGATGGCCACCAATGTTAATTGACAATCATTTTCAATCCATGTTAATGTTTCTTCGATTTGATTTTCGGTCAACTTTTTCGGTTTAAAACCTCCTTTTCCGATGAAATTTAAATTTCCGCGGCGAACCCAATTGTATGCTGTCTTATATTTGATACCTAGCGTTTGCGCGAGATTCACCCAATCTTCAAATTGCTCCGCACATTCAACAACTCTTCTCCTGTCATTTGGAGAAGATAAAACGTAACGTTTCCTTTCAACATGTTCAGTTGTGTGTATTTCATGCTGACAAATCGGACAACTTGAATCTGGTTGTTCCAGAACTGGACGTAAACAAATTTGGTGACATAAATGTTGACACAGATTTAGCTTAATCACAGACTTTCAGGTCATAGTGTATTGGCATATAACACAACGATCTTTCAATTCCATTATTATTACTTGTGCATACAAAAGCAAAATTTAAGATTATAACTTAAATTCATGTCCAAAAAGACCTTTTGTAACAACCTACAAACTTAGACTGTGAATTTGCTATTTTAATTTATGTGTTCTCAATTACAAGTTACGATTTCTCTATTACATATTATGATTTCTCAATTATATCTTCCGTTTTCTCAATTACATGTTGTGTTTCTTAATTACATGTTACGATTTCTTATTTACATGTCGTGTTTCTCAATTACATATAACGTTTTCTCAATTACATGTTGTGTTTCTTAATTATATATTACGACTTCTTAATTACAACTTTCATGTTCTCATTTACATCTTGAAAAGGTGTAGTTATATAATATATCAAAAGAAGCCAAAAATGGTAAATTTCATTGTTATAATTGCTAAGTATTACTTTTTTTAAACTTAAATTACTAACTCTTTTGAGCGAGTTCAAATTTCGTTTGCACTTGATAAACACTTATACAAACTTAGAATACTTAAAAAAAAAAAAAAAAAATTGGGGTTGTGAACTGTGATTTTTTTTTTTTTTAATTTATTCAATTCCTTTGCCGTTTAATAAAATTTACAATAAAAATAATTGTACACGTATAATAAATGGACGGAGCATAAAGAAGACGTATATTGACTTATCGCCGAGCCCTGTTTACATTGTTGCCTTCAGTATATATAGCAAGTTAAAATTAAAAGTTAAAATTTACAGGTTACTAATTAGGAATTACAAATTACTGATCAACAATATTAAATGAAATAATAAAAGAAAAAAGATCGCTGCCCCATGCCAAATCCTTAGTCGATGAAGCGGCTTTTCTTTGTAGCAGCAGGCTATAATATAGTTGATGTAGCAGTTTTCCATTGTAGCAACAGGCTATAAGATAGTCAAATTATGTACTAAAGCCAATAAACATTTCAGCAAAAAAATAAGATTTTACGCCGTTATTCTGCAGCATTACCATAATTAAGTTGAATAACTATAATTAAATTAATAACTTATAATCTAATATATTTGAAACAACTCTTTCAAAAACCGTTAGTTTTTACTCAGATTTCGATGTTATTTCAAGATAAAATAAAAACTGGCGCACGCATTACACAACTACCAAATAAAATATCAACAAAATGTTAACCATCAAACTAAATATTTTTAACCGATACTAATAAAACAAGATTTTAATTTTATTTTACAAGTTTTTTTGATCTGTGTTTCATTATAAAAAGGCGCACTTCCAAATGTAATTCAGAAGTCTTTTAAACGTTCCATGCTGTCAAAAAAAATTATACTGGTTCTAAAAACAAAACGTTCATTGTACATTTTTTGTAGGTCCAGTGTTTGCTGGATAAATATTGGAGACATGTGTTGCATTATGTTATAACAACTTAATGCAAAGTAAAAAAAATTTTCTATCTATGTTGCAAATGAGTTAAATTTTTAATGATTTTAGTTTAAAAAGTTACAATAAATGAGATTATATCTTTTTTCTAATTACATTTTAGATCCCTGTGAAGTAAGTGAATGCTGCAATAATCTATGGGTGAGGCAAAGTCCTATATATTTGAAAAAACAATTGAATTCAAAATTATTTGGCCAGCACCTAGTCGAAGATCTTGTTGTTAAACCTATTAATGATCATATTGAAAATAACAATCCAAGTTCGCCATTGGTCATGTCATTCCATGGATGGACTGGGTCTGGAAAAAATTTTGTTTCACAAATAATTGCCAATTCTTTGTTTAAAAAAGGTATGAATAGTAAATTTGTTCATATAAAAGTTGCAGCAAAAGATTTTCCTCATAAAAAATTGTTAACAGAATACAAAAATGAACTATCTAAACATATAGAAAAGAATGCCAGGCTATGTGAACGAACATTATTTATTTTTGATGAATTTCATGAAATGCCAGAGGGTCTTGGCAATACTATTGCTCCTTATTTAGACTACAATGTTCAGTTAGATGGTATTGATTATCGCAAAAATATATTTATTTTCTTAAGCAACTCTGTTGGTGAAATAATTAACAATTATACTATTAATCATTATAGAAGTAACAAATCAAGAGAGACAATAGACAGTAAAATATTAGAAAAACTAATAGCTACTAATGCTTTGAATTTACCAGGTGGGTTTAAAAACTCTAATATCATAAAAAAGGCATTAATAAACGTTTATGTTCCCTTTCTACCTTTGGAAAGAAAACATATCCAACAATGCGCAGAAGAAGAAATTTCAAAGAGAAATAAAGAAGTCAAATATTCCGTATTAGAAGCCATTGCTGATGAAATGCTTTATTTTCCTGACAAAGAACAATGGTTTTCAGCAACAGGTTGTAAAACAGTTAATAAAAAAGTAACATCATATTTATAAAGATAACATTTCCACAAATGATAAAAATAATATTCATAATTATTTGGTATTTAATTTTTTAATTATTTTTTTTAAATAAATAATTTTATATATTTTTATTAATATATATATATATATATATATATATATATATATATATATATATATATATATATATATATATATATATATATATATATATATATATATATATATATATATATACATATATATATACATATATATATATATATATATGTATATATATATATATCTATATATATATATATATATATATATATATATATATATATATATATATATATATATATATATATATATATACATATATATATATATATATATATATATATATATATATATATATATATATATATATATATATATATATATATATATATATATATATATATATATATATATATATATATATATATATATATATATATATTATAAATGACTTTTATACAAATAAAGTATATTTAAATGTAATAATTTTCAGATTAAATTAAAACGGATCATACACTTAAGTTGTTAAGTTTAATATATATTTTATATTTTTGGTTCTAGAATGTGTTATAGACTATTGAGTTAATTTTTTTTTATTTATTTTTCATTTCGAATTTAAAAATGATAAGAAGTTTTATTTTTATTACTCATGTTTGATATTTTTACGTAACTTTCTATAAAAAAATCTCATAAGTTTTTTACACGAAAAGCTTTGTTAGTTGTATCTGGTTAATTAAAAATAATAACAGTTACAAGATTTTTTTTTTTTTATGAAGGAAAAATGATTTTTATTAATTCACATAAAACAAAATAAAATCTTTCTTATCGAAATAATAAATGTTTACATTGAAAAACTGTAAATTAGATATCATACTATTGATATATATATATATATATATATATATATATATATATATATATATATATATATATATATATATATATATATATATATATGTATATATATATATATTTATATATATTTATATATATATGTATATATATATATATATATATATATATATTTATATAGATATATATATAAATATATATATATATATATATATATATATATATATATATATATATATATATATATATATATATATATATCACTGATTGCAATAGATAAACTAACACTTTGGCTATTGTAAAGTGACTTTTTGTTGATTTTTGTGCTTTTTTCTAATCATACAACAAGCTTAATGATTTTTACGTCATTTTGTTATTAAATGATGCTTTTTTTAAATACTGTTACTAGAGCCTTGGATTAAACAAATTCAAATCCAAAATGGTTCCATAAAAGATTGCCTAAAAGACTTTTGATCTTTTGTTGTACACTGACCTGTATCACATCGTATCAATGTGATTCAAAAATAAATGTTCGCATTTTTTTTGTGGTATCTCAGGTATTTCAAGGAGACATAATGGTCGCATCACAGAGCACCATAAAAAAGCATTTAACTTGGAAGTTTACGCTTTCTTCATATCGAAAAAAATCCTTGAGTAGGTATCGAACCACAGATCAGTGAAGCATTCTGTATTTTCTTGTATTTGAGATTCCTTACCCTGCTGCTTTTTATTAATTATACATATAAGTTTTTAGCTTAAGGAAATATTAAAAGAATTAATTTTTAAATTTACTTTTAAGGTTCATAGTTTGCAGTTAGGTATTGGATCAAACTTTTATTTGTTAGAACCATTCAATAACGACAAAGCGAGAGAGCAGTCGCTATAGTTAGCACTTTGAATCTACTCTTCTTCTTTTTTTAATTTTGTTTAAAATAATTTTTTATTTGAAGTAGATTATGAAGCTTCTCCAAGCCCATCGCACGCTCTACATTAATTTGAATAAATTTTACTGTGTGCACAGTAAAGTCGAATTTTCTATTAAGAATATTTATTATATACTAAAAATATTTTTTAAAAAACAAGAAATATTTTGAGAAATAATAATCCTATCACGCAATTTATTTTTAAAAACAAGAATTATATTTCTTGTCTTGAGAAATAAACTTCTTAAACGATGGTTATTAGATACTAGACAACATTTTTTCGTAAGAAGATTAAGAACAAGAAATTACATTTTTTTTGTACCGAATATTAAAAAACATTCAAAATCGTCCATGTTCATTTCGCAAATGCTATTTCCGAAATTTAGCATTTCGCAAGTTGACATACGAAATAAAACTGTTTTGCTACATACGAAGGTAGCAGTTTTGGAACTCGCACTATTGAAACAAGCATTTTCGTCAAACGACATTTTGAAGTCTATAAAAACAATTTGTTTGCAAGACTGATTTTAATTGTGAAAATTAACATCTTGAAATCCCAAATTGTTTTTAATCCCAAAATGTTTTAATCAAGTTTTATTTTCAGTATAACAACATATTAAGTTTTTACAGTTTTTTTTAAAAAATATTGAAAAAAAACAAAATTTCTTCCGAAACGAAAGTATTTTGCATCACAACATACGAAAGAGTTATTAAGGGAAACAAACTTACAAAAATTGCCATAATAAATATATATAATGATATTTATTAAACTCATTATGTATAGTAAAAGTAAGCAAGATGCGGAGGAATATACATGTTTTTTTTTTAAAGCATATGAAATAGAAATATGTATATTTAAAATTTCAATTAAATTAAAAGAAAGTTTTTCCAATGGTTTTTCGAGGCTAAGGAATATGCTTACATATGACTTTTTTTTTTTCTGAATCTGAGCCTTGAGGTGTGATGCTTTTTTAAAAAAAAAAACAGTATATGCAAGGGTTGTTTGCCGAAAAACAAAACTTGCGAAAATATTGCATTGTTATCTACCGTAATAAAATTGTTATTGCGGAAGTTGCTCATGCGAAAATGCACATTTTGTAATGCACTCTACAAAAGTACAAATAAATAAAACTCCTTAATAAAGCATTGCGAAATAAAACTTACGAAATAAATCATTTCGTAAAAACACTAACAAAATAGTTGCATACGAATGAAGCGTTCCGGATATATATATATATATATATATATATATATATATATATATATATATATATATATATATATATATATATATATACATATATATATATATATATATACATATATATATATATATATATATATATATATATATATATATATATATATATATATATATATATATATATATATATATATATATATATATATATATATTATATATATATATATATATATATATATATATATATATATATATATATATATATATATATATATATTATATATATATATATATATATATATATATATATATATATATATATATATATATATATATATATATATATATATATATATATATATATATATATATATATATATATATATATATATATATATATATGTATAAATATATATATACACGTATATATATATAAATATATATATATATATATATATATATATATATATATATATATATATATATATATATATATATATATATATATATGTATATATATATATATATATATATATATATATATATATATATATATATATATATATATATATACACTAAAATCCCCTTAAGTTAGTCTCTCAATGGGAACAGATGAATAGTACGATTTAGGAAATGTCCAAGTTAAGCGTAGCTTTTGCTTTTTATAGAACGTTCAAGGAAAACTAAATAAATTTTCCAACTAAGTAAAAGGGGCTATCCATAATTGATGTCAGTGATTTTTCTAAATTGTTAACCCCTCCCTTGTTTGCCAAACTCTGTCAATTTTTAACAATAGCCCCTTAATATATGATGGCAGATTTTGCACCCTCCTTCCTTAAAATAATATTAAAAATATGTGTACACACCATTGTTTTTTTCTAGTTAAATTATACATTTATATCACAGCATATTATATTATTGAAAAGTTGATACCTCATCAATTAGTTACAAACTAAAGAAACTTTTATTTTATATCTATATTATAAACTCAATCACTCATCGTATTCCTAAGAGTTGTTGAAGCGTTCTTCCATAAAAATGACAAATGATTTTATGTGTTTGTTTTAAAGCACATTTTAAAATCCACTGGGTTCAAATTTTGATTGTTAAGTTTATATATAAATTGTTGATATTTGTAAACAATTAGATTTTCGTACAAATGGTATTTATCAAACGTTGGTAAATTTTTAATTTATATCACGTCTCTAGGAAACTTATATCGAATTTACCAAAAAGCAAATAAGCTATTTCTATACCACATTGTAGATGTAAATACCTTTAAAATTTGCTCGTATTAGCCAAATTCATATAACGCGGTTTGTAGGGGAAAAAAAATAATGTTATTTTATTATAAATAATAACGAAACCGTGTGAAGTCTATTTTTGAATATACACCTTTTCAAGATGTAAATGAGAACATGAAAGTTGTAATTAAGAAGTCGTAATATGTACCTAAGAAACACAACATGTAATTGAGAAAACGTTATATGTAATTGAGAAACACGACATGTAAATAAGAAGTCGTAACATAATTAATTAAGAAACACAACAGGTAATTGAGAAAACGTAAGATATAATTGAGAAATCATAATATGTAATAGAGAAATCGTAACTTGTAATTGAGAACACATAAATTAAAATAGCAAATTCACAGTCTAAGTTTGTAGGTTGTTACAAAAGGTCTTTTTGGACATGAATTTAAGTTATAATCTTAAATTTTGCTTTTGTATGCACAAGTAATAATAATGGAATTGAAAGATCGTTGTGTTATATGCCAATACACTATGACCTGAAAGTCTGTGATTAAGCTAAATCCGTGTCAACATTTATGTCACCAAATTTGTTTACGTCCAGTTCTGGAACAACCAGATTCAAGTTGTCCGATTTGTCAGCATGAAATACACACAACTGAACATGTTGAAAGGAAACGTTACGTTTTATCTTCTCCAAATGACAGGAGAAGAGTTGTTGAATGTGCGGAGCAATTTGAAGATTGGGTGAATCTCGCGCAAA